GCAGGAGGATGACCTTCCATTGCAGGCAGGGCTGTGGGATCTGTAAACAGAATCTGCTCATAAGAAATATTATTAAATGCTATCAAGCTTCTGACTGTCATAATAAATACATTCAGAGGCATCTGAAGGGGCAAGCTGAGTGCAGGGTAGGTGATCTGACTGGAATACGAAAAGAACCGTGGACGACAAGCTAACTGAATAGAAAAAAAAACCCCTAATGGATAGTGATGGAGCAATATGGTGTGGGTCGCAGCCCAGGACCTGCACTGCTGATGAGCAGCAGAGCTGCTGGGAGAGATTTTGGAGGGATGGGGCAGTCCCTTGTCTTGGCAGGCACCCCATCCCCATTTGGCACCCTGCTGAGCAGCCTCGCTAGGGCAGGCACCCATCTGCCAACGCATCCCCGTAATCACGGACCGAACACCTGCCATGCACCCCGACACACGCATTAAACACTGAGAGCTTGTGAGAGGCATGACATTTATTTCACTGGGAACTGAAATCGGGGATTTGTCCAAAAGACAATGTTCTGGAGTCACTGGCCAAATAGGTGTGAAATGAAAAGGCATATGGCATAAAAAACCAGTTCTCTGTATAAAATCAAGTTTTACCTACACATTATGCTTCATGATAGTGCAACACTCCTCTGGGAACAGGCAACATCCATGAATGTTAGAAAAAACAGTGAGATGTTGAAAAAGGTCTTTCCAAGAGCTACAGTTTCCACTATAAAAATATTTTCAAGAGACAGTCAAGAAGGAGTATATGATCTGACAGGGAGCAAAGCAAAAGAGATGCTATTTTTGCCTTCTGAAAGACTGGTTGTAATTACAACAGTTGAGAAAAAAAGCAGATTAGTGGCTCATCTCTTTTTCCTCTGTAATATTTCCATCATTGTTTGACATTCTTTTTGATTCAGTAAAAAATCTGAAAAGCCCTCGACCACTGTGGGTTTTAGGATTAGAAAAGGAAAGGCTATTTTTGTTCAGCCTGAAGCCTATGGTAGGGAGAATTACCACGAGTTCAGTATGCTGCTTTGGCAGATACATAACCCTGCTCACAGCTACTAACATATTCTCCTTCTGGTGCAAAGGTGAGAATCAGAGGATACTTGGGATATGATCTTGAGTTCAACATAGCATAAAACATACTTTTAAATTAAGTTTGTGCTCACATAACTCCTGTAGCTTCCTCCAGCATAAATATCAAACATATACCTTTGGGCTGCTCTATTTTGCATTGATTATCCATAGATCAGTGGGCCCCATAGGCTGAGACAGCAAATGCTTAGGAAATCGTACCTGTGTTATCTTATCTTCATTTATCTTTCTTGTGTTTGAAACTTTAAGGTAGCCAGTGTCCTGGAAACCTGCCCTTTGCTGCAGTAGCACGGAGCAGCCACAGGGAACCGGAGGGGTGGACTGGTTGCTTTGATACTCCAGCCACCTTCAGTAACAATTAGAAAAGCTGGTGAAGATCATTACTACAATTATATGAATGAAGCTAGAGACTGAACTTGGTCAACTCAACTGAAGCGCAGTCTTTGCCTGGTGAAATGAAGCTGTTTCTACCAGTATTTGTATTCTTTTCCTTATTGCACAGGTGTTAGCATCTCTAACTGGTTTGCTATCTTTAAAAATGTTAATAGGACCTAGGATTGTGATGATTGATGTCTCTGAACCTGAACAAATATGTTTCTTTTGGTCAAAATAAACAGAACATGAAAGAAAAGTAGCCCTATTGGGTTAAACCAGAGATCCAGTTAGCCCAGTAGCTTCTTCTGAAGTTGTCCAGTAGCAGATGTTTAAAAGAAAAAATAGAAGAAACATGATCCTTCCCATTTTATAACCTCTCTGCTTCTTGAAATCAACAATTAGTGTGTCCTGAGCTACATGACAAGAGTGCTAAAAGTTGTAATTGGATCCATTGCTTGCTAACTTCTCTAATTCCTTTTTAACTTATTTATTTTTTATACAATATCCTGTAATAATGAGCATCAGAATTTAATTATGCATTGTACAGAAAGGTACTATCTGTTGCCTGATTTAAACCTGAGACCAGAAGATTTCTCTGGAGCTCCCTAATTGTGATTCACATTCCCTGTTTTTGTATCCATCCCGATTTTGTAGACTTTAATTTCACAAGCCATGGACTGGAGGAGTCCAATGAAATGAATTAAAAGTGATACCAATATTCTAAATCACATTTTTAAAATATGCTGAACTAATTTTCTGCATGAGATAATGCACCCAAGTTTGGCTTGAAAAAGAGGAGCTTTTGGGCCTTTGAAAGGATTATCCTTTAGCTATCCCTGCTAACAGGTTTGTCAACTGTATTGCTGAGCTTTCTTAAACACCTTTTTAGTGAGACACAAAAAGCTGATCAGCTGCAAATATCACACCCTCTGTAATACTTTGTATCTTATCTTTGGATTTGGGATTAAAAATGAGGTATAAACAGATGAGAATGCATAAGACTTTTAAAACCTGGAGAATAACTAGACAGTTCATATTTTACAATCATAGTTAGCTCAAAGAGATTTTGGCATTATCTCATGAAACCTTTGCTATGGGTTATTAGCTCTTAATCATTGCTTCTATAGGGGAAGAAAGGAGTTGGGGCCAGCAAGATGATTCAGGTAAAATTGCAAGAGGATAACCCTTTTACCTGTGCACCCCCCCCCCCCCCCCCCCCCCCC